ATTGAGTCAGACCTGACTCATAGCGACCCCTCCTTGGGTTTCCGAGGCAGTATCACTACGGAAGTAGATTGCCCAACCTTCCTTCCGAGGAGTGGCTGGTGGGTTTGAACTGCCAGCCTTCTGGTTAGCAGTCAAGTGCCTTAAGCAGGTAGCTGTAGGAGCTGACAAACCCAGATTGGCAAGGCCAGGTGGCAAGCTGCTGGCTCATTGGCTGATGAATCCCAAGATCGGTAGGCAATATGGAAGAATGCTGTCTCAAGTCCAAAGAACCAATGGTCACATGATGATGAGCCAGGTGTAAGATCCAGATTGAGTAAAAAGCCAGAGAACTTTTCCAGAGCATCCATATATACTAGAAGCAGGCTACACCACTATAGAAAGGCCCTTTTCAAATGACTGGCTGCTCATAGCAGATCTCATCACAGAAGTGATTACATTATATCAGATCTCTTTATGCAGGATGACATCATAAATACCAAACCACTGAGAACCAAAGCCCAGCCAAGTTGACACACAACCTTAGCCAGCACATTCTCCACTGTTTCAGACAAGAAGTCAAATGTTAATCCCATCAATGCTATCAATTATTAGTAACTTTCATCTTGCTACATTCAGGATTTTCTCTTTGGGTTTCAACAGCCTGACTATGGTACATTTAGCTGTAGATCTCTTTGTATTTATGCTACATGGGGTTCAATGGGCTTCCTGATGAGCTTCTCCTTAAATTTTGGAAGTTTTTAGCTTTTATTTCTTCAAATGTTTTGTCTTGTCCCAACTGTGACCACAACCTCAGACTAACAGAGCCATCAGCCATCCCTACTCACCTATCTAACAAGACTGTTACTTCCAACAAAAAAGCCATGGGGCCCATGTTATCACCTAACACTCCAAGTCAGGTGCATCCCCTAAAACTTCAACAGAAGGGCTGTGGTTCCTCACAGCCTGAACTGCCCTGCAGAATCTCATCACCACAGAGCTGGGGATGAGGATGGGAGCATTCCTGAGCCAAGTGCCACAGAGTCCCACTGTTCTCACCCAAGGCTCAGCATGTTTTTGTTTTTGTTTAAATAAATAAATAAACATTTCTTAGATCATTATATGCTTTTCGTCAATTTCCAGAGTGCTAAAATGGTTGTTTTTGTCAACTCTGTACAGCTATAGTTGATTTTTGGGGATATGATTTGATGATCTCCTCACTCAACCACAGCTAGAAGCTATCCTTCATTAAAATTAAAATTCTATCAATCAATATATTTTGAAAATAAAACACAGTCTATGAGACAAAGTCAGAAAAACTGCTAAGTTAAAGAGACACAGAGGAGAGGAGGAGGAGTAAGAAAGACAGAGTGAGAGAATAATCCCACCCCTTTAACCTGCCTCTGGATGCTCCAGATCAGCCCACTATAATACAAATCATACTCTGGTGATTTAAACTCACCAGCCACTTTAAAGGAAAAGGAAATTCTCTCTCCTAGAAGCCACCAGAAACTGCCTTTAGCCTTCAAAATGCCCAAATTGAATCATAACACAAGAATAAAATAGCATGAAAGAAAGAGAGGCAGTATTGAAAAAGAGTCAAAATCAAATCCTAGAAGTGGAATACTATAGTAAAAATGGATTAACCACAGCTATACTCAACAATATAGATCAATCTCACCAAGGAAAGAAGGCAGACAGAGCGTACCTACTATAGAATCCATTTATTTAAAGTACAAAACCAGAAAGACTAACCTATGCTATTAGAAGGCAAGACAGTGGTTACCTTTGGAGGGCTAGTGAAAGCAAGTGGGCACAAAGGGGCTTCGGGGTACTAAAACGTTGTTTCTGGAGTTGCGTTACAATGGTACCTTCAGTTTATGAATACTCATACAAGCGATACAGCTATGTGTACTTTTCATTATGCATTTTCTACTTCAATTAAAAAATTAAAAGAACCTTTCACATTAAAAAAAAAAAAAGTGAAATTCTCTCTGTAGAACAAATTTAAATTGGCTTTAGTTAGTCTTATACAGACACAATGAGCTGAAAGCCAGAGTTTCAGCCACTCTAGCCTGTGGTCAGACATAACTATCTATGTCTTTGGACCTACTCCTGCAAATACTCAGCATCAACCTGAAAAATGATGAGAGAACCAAGCCATGATAAAGGGAGGTGCTGAGCCAAAAGGCTGCCTGTTTTTATCATGGAAACCAGGACCAGTCACAGGTTAGTGTCTAGTTTTAGACTGGCTCATGGAGCCCGATACTATGATTCTTACACACACACAAAGAGTGGACAGAGCATTCTATGTGAGCCCTCAGGAGCACTAGCTCTCTACATGACATCCTGTTTCTAATAAAGTCTCGTAAGAGGCTGTCACCAACACTGCCCCCAGTCATTCCCTCCACAGCATGTCGAATGCCGACACTGACTCTAGACACATGTCGTTGGTTCCCTCCCACCAACTGGCTAGGTGCAGTTGTTGCCTCATTTTATGAGTGAAGAGACAGGGCTGAGAGCACTGCCCAGAGCACTCAGGAGTGTGATTGGAACCTAGTCTTACCCGCTTGCCTCAAACCAGGGCTCCTTTCACACCTTACACAGCTGTCAGGATGCTAGAAGTCTCCAGAGATACTATAAGGACTTCCCCAATCCTGCATGAAGACCCCACTCTACCCCCCATCTGGTATCTCACATGTCATATCGTTCCAACCAACTTCAGAATACAGTATCACATTGTCTGAGTAGCCCTCGTCATTTAGACGTAGAGCGGGAAAACAAGACCCAAAAGTCTATAGAGGCCAAACGCTGCGCTAACAGAAAGACCTGGGCTTTAGTCCCAGCTCTGAACTCAACCAACACTTTACTCTTTACTCACAGAAGGAACACACTGCCACTGGCCCACATTGCAGTGCAGGCTCATTGTGGAGGTTATGAAAAAACAAATGGAAAAAGCTGGGAACATAAATGAGACCAGCAGACCCTCCTCTCCTGCCCGCTTCCAAGTCTACCACTGGCTGCTTGCTCACTTGAGAAGTCATGAACTTCTCTCCTAGTCAGAACTGAGCTACAGGGAGGAAGAAAAGACTCACATTTACAATTTTAATTTTGGAAGTTTAAAGAGGACCTCTTGGTTTCAGAACAAGGACTACAGAAATAAATATAAAAACAAAACAGTTGCCATCAAGTCCACTCCAACTCATGGTGACCCCACACGTCTGTCAGAGCAGAACTGTGGTGCTCCACAGAGTTTTCAGTGGCTGATTTTTCAGAAGCAGATCACCAGGCCTTTCTTCTGAGGTTCATCTGGGTGGACTCAAACTACCAACCTTTCAGTCAGCAGCTAAGTATGGTCATCATCTGCAACACTGAGGGATTCCACAGAAAGCAAAGCTAGATGGAAAAGGTCTTTTTGGCTGGCAGGAGCACAGAACAGGTTATTCTGAAGTTGATTGGAATGACATGACATGAGATTTGAGACGGGGGGTGGAGTGGGGTCTTCCTGCAGGATTGGGGAAGTCCTTATAGTATCTCTGGAGACTTCTGGCATCCTGACAGCTGTGTAAGGCATGAAAGAAGCCCTGGTTTGAGGAGAGCTGGATCTTCCCATTAATCTCAAGGAGGGAAAAAATTTGCAAAGTTATCTTAATAATTTACAAAGTTATGAGACACCAGACCAAACAATCTCCAAAGTCTTTAGAATTCCAACAGTCTGGCCCCAACAGAGATTTAACCAGAAATGCAAATCAGGACCCTCAGAGATCACTCCCACTTCACATGGAGGTGAGAAGGTACTAGCTTCCGATCACCCTGGCTCTGCACCAGCCACTCAGCCAACGACAGGAGAGGGGTAGCAGACCCTCTTGTAAAGGAGGACTCCTGGTGCAGCAAGAGAAGCAGCTCTCCAGCACCACTTTTCAGAGTGATGAGGCTGGAGGGAAGCCCTGGGCCGGCCCTGGCATATCAGACATGGAAGCTCAGAAGCATGGCTCCCACCCAGTACTCTGAGGGGAGGGTAAGGAAGTTCCTAGCTGCTCTGTGGGAGCAGCACAACCTGGGTCTGAATTCTTCACAGAGAGAAAGGAACAAGGTTTTCTGAGCAAAGAAATGGAATGGTAGATTGAGTCTTAATTCTTTCAAGGTTTGCCCTTTAGAGCCTCAAAAATGCAGATTATCATGGTGAGTCACCACCACTCACTGAAGAAATGCCAGGAGAGGACACTGAGACATCAGGTGAAGGGAGTGGCAACTGTGCCCAATGCA